AAGTAAATAAACATTACAAAAATAATAATAGAAAAAAATAACAATTACACGGGCACCTGGGGGGCTCAGTCAGTTGACTAGCTCTTGATTTTCCAGGGTCATGCGATTGAGCCCCATGTCGGGCTCTGTGCTGAGCGTGGAGCCTGTTTAAGATTCTCTCTCTCCCTCTGCCCCTCTCCCCCACTCATATGCACTCTCTCTCTCTCTGTCTCTGTCTCTAAAATTAAAAAAAGGGACGCCTGGGTGGCTCTGTTGGTTAAGCATCCGACTCAGCTCAGGTCATGATCTCACAGTTCATGAGTTCAAGCCCCGCATCAGGCTCTGTGGTGACAGCTCGGAGCCTGGAGCCTGCTTCAGATTCTGTGTCTCCCTCTCTTTCTGTCCCTCCCCCGCTCGCACTCGGTCTCTCTCAAAAATAAATACTAAAAAAATTTCTATGTAAAAAAGCACTTATAAACCCATTACATGTTAATGCAAATGATATAATTTTTATGAAAACAACTATTTGCTGCAAAAAAAAAAATGTACTGAAAACACACTGTTTTACATTTTTGTAAATCTGTATTCTCCTGCTTCTGAATGCAGTTTGTTGTGATATGTTGTTCTGGTTGATTTGTGTGAAAGAAATCCAGCCTCACTCCAATATATAGTTGGAAAAGAGAGGAGTATTTTATAGGTGTTTTCAGATAAGTGTGGCTGTTCTGATCCACACTGAAACTGGACGAGCAGTAGTTTCTTAAAGATGAGATACAATGTGGTATCTGAAATCAGATCCATGAATTTTTCGTACTCTTGTTAAAATCTACTGATCTTTTCGAAAATAGTCGTTCATCGAGTTATGCAGATCTTCTGAGTATTGAGACATTACATCATACAATTATTTTTTAAATCATAACTTTAAAAAAAATTTTTTTAATGTTTCTTTTTGAGAGAGAAAGCGTAAGCAGGTGAGGAGGGGCAGAGAGAGCGGGAGACAGAATCTGAAGCAGGCTTCAGGCTCTGAGCTGTCAGCACAGAACCTGATGCCGGGCTCAAACCCACGAGCCGTGAGATCACGACCTGAGCCAAAGTCGGACACTTAACCACCTGATCCACCCAGGCGCCCTTAACTTAATTTTCTTCTAAATGTTTAATCAGTTGTCATAGCGCCATTTGTTGGAAAACAAATTACCTTTTACTGACTGACTGAAATATCACCTTTGTATTGTTTTTAGCCGCACATCCTTGACTCTTTCGGAAGTTGCTCTCCTGTTTGATTGACCAATCTATTCCTTTGACACACACTCTTTAAATTATTTTAGCTTTATGAAGTAGTTTTATATTGAATATAAAAATTCTAATATATTTAGAGAGATCGAGCTTCCATCCCTGCCCTCTTCTATTCTGATACTTTCCCCATAGGCAACCATTTTTACTAGTATTTCATTAATCTGTCCTTGGTTTTTGAAGATATAACTAAATATGTATGTATATTTGTATCTCCCTGCCCCCCCCCCCTTTTTTCCTACACAAAAAGTAGCAAACTATACACCCTTACTTGCAGCCTGCTGGTTTTTTTTAAAAATTATTTACTCTATCCTGGAGAGAACTTCACACCTATATATGGAAAACCTTTCTGACTTTTTAAAAAGTTGCCTAGTACTCCATTTTATGTCTACGTCAGAGCGTATTTAATGAGTTCTCTATGGTAGAATATTAAGATTTTCCAGTTGTATGTCTACATCATCATGTGTTTCATGAGTTCTCTGTTGTATAGGTAGGATATTAAGATTTACCAGTCTTTGGCTGTGTCAAGTAGTGTTATAATGAGGAGTCTTGTGTAAGTATAATTTCATATATTTGCCATTATATCTTCGGGCGATCATAGATTTTTGATCAGAGGTGTATATAAAAGCATTGTTAGGGAAGATTAGACTGGAAATGGGACGCATATTTGGACACGAGTCGGACTGGATGTCTGGAAACCTAGACGTCATGACCGTCCTCTACACTAAAGTGATAACCGTGTATTTATTACAGAAGTCGATGTTCAGTAAGAATTCGTTTCTCCCCTCTGCTGATCTAGTGTGCTCAGTACCTGCTCATCCAGTGATGTATTGCTCCATCTGAATCTCTCCTTCTCCTGTATTTCTGGTCATCTTTATCCCCTTTTGACTGTCCTGGATAAGGTCTCCTCATTCTCTCCACGTCTGTGCATTTGTTTCCTTTCATTTGCTTCTCTTTGCAAATCATCTTATGAAAGTCAAATCCACCCACTCCTCGAAAGCATGCGTTTCATCTTCATTAGCTGTTACAGAACTGCTTTTTGTTGAGCACTGAAAACGAAGGAAATTTGCATTTCCAATTTCTTTCAGACCTGGAGGCTAAACCCGAGGGCAAAGATTCAACTTCAGTGCAAGATATTTCCAAAGAAGAATCATGCCAAGCCGCAGTAATAGACAGACTGACAGGAAACGGTGTCTATGGCTCCAGCTTGGAAACAACTCTTGAATGTGAAAATTGGTTAGAGAATCAGCAAGGAAATCAGGAGAGACCCTTGAGAGAAATGTTCACCCATGTGAATTCACTCCCCGAAGAAGGAGCTCATGAGCATGACGTATATTGGAAAAACTTTGGTCAGAAGTCTGTTCTTCTCACTCAAGACAGAGTTCCCAAAGGATCCTATGCCTTCCATACACTTGGAAAAAGGTTGACACCGAAATCAAACTTAATGAAAAAGCAAAGAACCTGTAAAGAGAAAAAACCTCATAAATGTAACGATTGCGGGGAGCTCTTCACTTACCATTCAGTGCTTATTCGACACCAGAGAGTCCATACTGGAGAGAAACCCTATAGCTGTAATGAATGTGGGAAATCTTTTAGCCACAGAGCTAATTTAACTAAACATCAGAGAACTCATACCAGAATTCTCTTTGAATGCAGTGAATGCAAGAAGGCCTTCACAGAAAGCTCATCCCTCGCGATACATCAGAGAATTCACATTGGGGAGAGACCGTATGAATGCAATGAATGCGGAAAAGGTTTTAATCGAAGTACACATCTGGTACAGCACCAGTTGATTCATACTGGAGTGAAGCCGTATGAATGTAATGAATGTGATAAAGCTTTCATTCATTCCTCAGCTCTTATTAAACATCAAAGAACTCATACTGGAGAGAAACCCTACAAATGTCAGGAATGTGGGAAAGCCTTTAGCCACTGCTCATCCCTTACTAAACATCAGAGAGTTCATACTGGAGAAAAGCCATATGAATGTAGCGAATGTGGAAAAACCTTTAGTCAGAGCACACATCTTGTTCAGCATCAGAGAATCCATACTGGAGAGAAACCCTATGAGTGTAACGAATGTGGGAAAACCTTCAGCCGGAGCTCAAATTTTGCTAAACATCAAAGAATTCATATTGGAAAGAAACCGTACAAATGTAATGAATGTGGGAAAGCCTTCATTCATTCATCAGCTCTTATTCAACACCAGAGAACTCATACTGGAGAGAAGCCTTACAGATGTGACGAATGTGGGAAAAGCTTTAAGTGCAGTTCATCCCTCATCAGACATCAAAGAATTCATACTGAAGAGCAACTCTGAAAAATTACTGAATGTGAAGAAATGTAAGTTGGTTTATCACTGTGTTAAATACCTGAGCATTTAGGTGGAATACCCATAAAATGCTGCTGGAGGACCAATCGTGTATGCATCTGATTTTACTTGCATAATACATAGTTTTGAGCCATAAACAGAATGTTCCTTCTATCTGCTGATTGAATCAGTATGAAAGCTTCTAGCTAGGGATCTCAAATTTTGATCCCCTTCCCCCCCACCCCCACCAAATACCCTTTCGTGGAAATTCAAGAAATCCTTGGGAGTGGATAGCAATATCATTGTGGTGAGATCTGGGTCCTCCCTCTCTTTGTCACATCAAAGCCCTGTTTATAGCTTCTCATTCTGTACGGAAATTCTTGTTTGTTAACTTCGGCAGAGGACCCATATCTTTATCATCAGGAAGGCACAGAGTTGTTCCTCTTTGGATCCAAAGTAGATCTCCAGATAATACAGGTAGTGTCATTTCTCCAGAGAGGGTCATTTCTTTTATATTAGCTATAAAACTTAAAGGTTAAAAGTTGAAATATGCTTTGGATCCTCTCCTTGCCCCAAAGGCTACTGCCTCATTTGATGCACATAAATAGAATGTATTTACAGCAGGTTCCAAGTCGCATTCATTTAAGATTATGCTGGTCATCAGTTTAGATAATTGTTACCCTCTACTGTGTAGATCTTCTTTTTCTACTTCCTTGGAATTACCCTGAAGTTGAGACTGGGTCAACCTCTTAACTGTAGTTTTCAGTCAAATGCCTCTTTTCTCATCTTTGGCATTGAAGGAATCCTGGTTGGTTGGTTGGTTGGTTGGTTTGTTTGTTTGTTTGTTTGTTTGTTTGTTTGTTTGTTTTTATACTCACGTAAAGATTTCATTTCTTTACATCATTCTGCTTTCTGTAAACTATGTCGCATTGAGAAAAGGCCCCTGGGATGTTGAGGGTCTGAAAAGTTGATGAGTTCGATGTGTTATTATATTTAGGGTCCCAGTCAAGAGGAATAATTGAAGCAACTGTGAGACACAAGGACACACCTTCCTGTCAGATATGGAAATTAGTTCACAAGGCAGTGACTCATTGGAGGATAAGCAGCCTCCCTCCATGAAGAAGAGGTTGCCATTTCTCTGGCTCTTAAAAGTCTGTCCACACTTTTTGTTGTTATTACTGTTCTCCCTAGATGTGTGTTGGTCTTTGCTACATCCCAGAGCCCTAAAGAAGGTAGAGGGGTGCCTGAGTGGCTCAGTCGGTTAAGCGTCCGACTTCGGCTCAGGTCACGATCTCACGGTTTGTGAGTTCGAGCCCCGCGTCGGGCTCTGGGCTGACAGCTCAGAGCCTGGAACCCACTTCGGATTCTGTGTCTCCCTCTGTCTGCCCCTCTGCTGCTTGCACTCTGTCTCTCGCGTTGTCTCAAAAATAAACATACATTTAAAAAAAAAAAATTTTTTTTTTAAGAAGGTAGAAAAGACATGAAACCACAATGATAACATAAGTTACTTGGGTGACCAAAAACCAGCAGTGGGATTGGAAAAGCAAAAGTTGAAATAAATATTTAGCCAAACGCTATGCAAATGTCAATTTTTATTGTTACTCTATTGTATGACAAGAAAATTATAGAAAAGGTAGAAGGAAAGTAGTGACAGATTTCTTTTCTCTTCTAACTTCTATCCTTTATGAACATTTCAGCAACCAGTCCGTGCTCTTGCCTTCTCCACCCTGTCCTTGTTACTGTAATTCCTTCTCTGTAAACCTTTGTTGTATTATTGAAAAAAAGTAGAGGAATAGAGTTTAAAGAAGTGATAGTGGAGAGTAAACGAGATGGTTAAGGATGAAGGAGTTAAATCCAGCAGCAATGAAAATCAAAACAATAGGATATGGGGCCAAAAGGGCTAGAAAGAGGTTTTGGAAAGAACTAAAGATACGTTGAAAGGGTGGAGGCTGGTGGGAAGGCTCAGGTCTGAGAGGTCAGAATAGGGGGCTGGCACAGGAACAAGGGAAAGGCGCTTAATCCTTTCACCACCTCAGTGCTCCATACTCATGGTCTAAAGTAGGAACTGACAGACTGTGGCCTGGACCCATGGACCAAGTCCAGCCTTCTGCCTGTTTCTCCAAACACAAGGCTTAGTTGGATCTTGACCACACTCATTTGTTTATGTTTGTTGGTGCTACAACGGCAGAGTCAAGGAGTTGCCGTAGAGATTGTATGTCCCCCACAAGCCTAAAATGCCTAATATTTCTCAGCGTGCCCAACACTTGAGTGAAAATAAGGTCATAATTTGGGGGCCCAAATTTGACTAACAAAATAAGACCCACGTGGGATTTTCAAAGTTGGGATTGAATTCTGCCACCTTCACTTAGCATTTATGTGACCTTACTGAGTCTCAGTGTCTTTATCTGTAAAATGGGAATAAGTCATCCTTCTCTCATAAGATTGTGAGGATTAGATAAGAATGCATGTAAAAGACCTGGCACATGATAAATTATGTGGAAAACCTCTATATGTATATGTATGTTTGTAAATATATATAGACACACGTATGTATATATATGTGCGTGTATATATATATACGCATATGTATATATATGTGTGTATATATATATTTACTTTTTTTTTTTTTTAATGAAATGTCAGTCCATTTGGGCTGCTAACCAAATAACTCGCCGTAGACTGAGTGGCTTATAAACAACATTCTCACAGTCCTGGAGACTGGGAAGTCCAAGATCAAGGCCTCAGCACATTCAATGTCCAGCGAGGGCCTCCTTCCTGGTTCTAGGACAACCATCTTTTTGCTGTGTTTTTTGGTAAAAGGGCAAGAGGGCTCTCTGGGGCCTCTTTTCTAAGGGCACTAACCCTATTCAGAAGAATTCTGCCCTCGTGACCTTCCAAAGACCCCACCTCCTAATACTATCACTCTGGGGATTAGGTTTCAAGATAAATTTGGGGAGATAAAAACTCAGTCTATATAATAAGTGGCTAAGCATCAATCAAGCAGAAATTACTTAAGAATGAATGTATCTGACACCTCTTGTTTACCGGTCAAGAACTGTGACCATCCTACTGTCTAGCTCATCATAGAGAAGGGGCTTCTCTATTCTTCCTTCCATCTGGTGCTGCTCCCTACAGAGCCTCCTTGAGACCTTGGGGAATCTGCTTTTTTCCCTTCTGCATACCACTCTACTGGGAACTATCTGACAGTTCCAAAGACTCAAGTTTGTAATCTATTTACAGTTTCAACAGCATTGAGAGACGTGCTCTAAGTTCGTTTTGCTGAGAACTCTGATCCTTTACATTTCAGTATTTGTTCTGTTTATGCTCGATGTTCGACCTGTGTTGTTTGTACTCCAGTGTGATTGTTGGAAGTTTTAATGTTCCATTTTTCAAGTGTTTTTGGTTACGTATAAAACCAAATTGACTGCTCTTACCAGTCCACTGTCAATAAAGATGTTTATATATATATATTGTCAGAAACTTTTGTAAATTGCTTCTAAGTTTTCCTAATTTAAGCATATTTTAAGAGGCAAAGAAAGACCTACCGTAAAATCCTTCAGGAAACCGATCACGCTTCTAATTGTTCATCTGGGCTCCACCACTTGTCAGACAGGGGATGGGGGAATTCCCTCCACGGCCCATGGATCTGCAAGAAGGTTAAAGAGTAGAGAAGGGTCGTTTCTACCAGCTGGTGTTGAGTCCTCAAGCCAAGTGCAGGCTCCACTCCCTTAGCAGGGGGTAATGGAGAAAAAAGGGACCACTCATTTAGCAAGAGTACCTATAGAAAGTACAGTTACAACTAGACAAGATCAGATAGACCGATTTAGCATAAATCTTAAACTACGTCTGGCTTTTGGGAGGAGAGTGTAACCACCCAAAGAATAAAAACAATAGTACTGTATAAGAACACCAAACAGTACTCATATTCGTTGGCAATTAACCAGTTCAATTGTCTATTGAAAGTTTCTAATAACTTTGTTTTCCTAGGTGAGTTTTTACTTTTTAATATTGCAACAGGACTCAACAGGAAGCTCTTTGTCCCTGCTTTGTCCTTTTCTTTACCTTTTTAGGCCCCAACAGGGCAGTCTTGGAATCCAGAACCACATGAGCTATCTCTCACCATAGGCTTTATTGGCAAGGGGAAAGCGTGTGCCCCTCTGGTAATACATATAAAATGACATCTGTGGATTACCTTCCACTTCCAATTAACGCCCTCAAAAAATCAGATGTTTTCATTGAATTGTTCTTTACATGTTTCACAGTGGTAGCCTCTGTTAGTCCATAAAGCAGATAGTCTGCCCTTAGATAGAGTAGACTGTACATAAAATGTGCATACTTTACTCTCCCCCACTCCTGCCAATTCACCCATAAACGTTACTACCATGTCAGAAAAGTTCACGTGTCTGGGGAATTGAAGGGTTGAAACCAGAGACTCAGGCATTGCTTGGTCAAAGACTCCCATCTCTGCTCTGTTTTTTTTTTTTTTTTTTT